GTCAATTTTTGGAAAAAAAAAAAAAAAGATTAATGGGTATACGCTAAGCTTGAATTTACTTAATATAAACATGAGTACTGAAAACAATACAGGATCTAGCTAATATTCCACATTAATTTGAACATTTTGGTCAATGGAAGGCCACTTCAGTAAGCTAATAAAATGTTATATAGGACGCACAAAACACTTAAAAGAGAAGAGCCCAAGAAAAATACTTGTAAATAAGAGTACAATTCTCAGGGATGCTTCTTAGAGAACTGTCTGTTTGGCATAGCAGGGCCAACAGAACTATGCTCGTATTAGAAAAAGTAAACTGATTCAGCTTGATCAAAAAGGAATTTAAACTTAAATCATCAGGTAGGAGAGAGGAAAAGACTCAGAGTCGCAGGCAACTGCTCGGCCCCAATCCCCTGGAATTCATCAATTCACCAAATTATTTATAAAATAAGAAGCTGCCTGCATGAAATTAGGAGTTTAGGGAAACAATGCCACTTAAGCATTGGGGTTCTTGAGACTATAAGCCAGAGAGAATGGTACTGTACCCTCTGCTGCCTGAACACTGGAGGTTTCTGTAACTACTCAGTAAGAACTCACTAGGTGCTAGGACTGTACTGAATTACAATCTCTGCCTTCAAATAATTCCACGGGAATCTAAGACATGTATATGCATAACAACTACAGTGAAAATGCAAAGCAATATAAAACTTTAAGAAAAAAAAAAAAAAAACAGTTCAGGGGCACCTGGGTGGCTTAGTCAGTTAAGCATCTGACTCCTGACTTCAGCTCAGGTCACGATCTCACAGTTTGTGAGATCGAGCCCTGTGTCAGCTCTGCACTGACAGCACAGAGCCTGCTTGGGATTCTCTCTCTCCCTCTCTCTGCACCCCCCCCCCCCATGCACACACTCTCTCAATAATAAATACATTAAAAAGCCAAAAAAAACCCAAAAAACCCAGTTCAGATAATCTCAGCCATGAAATAAAGGTTAGAGAAGGGAAGGCAATAGTTGTGGACAGACTTCACTAAAGAGAAAGCACCTGAAGGCAAGGACAGAGTACTCTAGGCAGAGGGCAAAGTACGGGCAAAGGTTCAGATACTGAAATGAGTATGGCAGGTTTAAAAGACAGTAAAGAAGTTCTTTTGGACAGATTAGAAAGATCACTTGAAAGCCACAGAAATAAGACTACACAGGTAGGACTAATAAGAAACTAAGACAAGTCACAGATGCCTTTTGAGCATTAAACCAGTAAGTCTCCAAAACAAAACAAAACAAAAACAGTGGCACCCAGAGAGGTATAGATCTTTCCCCAAATCCCATGTATAATCCTGATCATAACATTGGCCCATAAGAGATGCAGTGCAGATTTTTGATTCTCCTTCCTCATTTAAAAAGTTATGTAACTGAATCAGCTCACAACCCCACCTGGTCCAATGATCAAGATACTCTCTTCCTAATAGACTCTTTCCACCACCTCTCTGTTGCCACAGCACAGCATTAAGCATTATTCAAACACAAGTGAAACCACAAAACCACAGACCTCTGGCTGTTCTCAGTCCAGACCATATAGTCTCTTGTAGAGACCAGCCAACTTATCCCCGTAGCTGACATCGTGGCCCTAAAGGGTCCCCTTTGTAAAAACAAAACAAAATAAAACAAAACAAACGAAGAACAAGAACAAAACCTTCTCTGCATTTCTCTGTCAAATGGACAATCCTTTTTTTTAAACTTACTTTTTTTTTTTAATGTTTATTTATTTCGAGCAAGAGTGCAAGAGAGAGCATGAGTGGAGGAGGGGCGGGGGGGGGGGGGGGGGGGGGGGGGGGGGGGGGAGAGAGGATCCCAAGCAGGCTCCAAGCTGTCAGCACAGAACCCGAGGCAGGGCTCGATCCCACAAACCGTGAGATCATGACCTGAGCGGAAACCAAGAGTTGGTTGCCTAACCGACTGAGCCACCCAGGTGCCCCCAAATGAACAATCTTTTAAAAGGGGCTCCAGGGGCGCCTGGGTGGCGCAGTCGGTTAAGCGTCCGACTTCAGCCAGGTCACGATCTCGCGGTCCGGGAGTTCGAGCCCCGCGTCGGGCTCTGGGCTGATGGCTCAGAGCCTGGAGCCTGTTTCCGATTCTGTGTCTCCCTCTCTCTCTGCCCCTCCCCCATTCATGCTCTGTCTCTCTCTGTCCCAAAAAATAAATAAATGTTGAAAAAAAAAATTAAAAAAAGGGGCTCCAAAGACTACAAGTTATCACACTGCCATATCAAAACAAATGAAACTGGAAATTGAGTGGGGACTATACTGTATATATGTATACATTTATGCATATAGATACATAATTTTTATGAAAAAAATGTTTTAATGCTTATTTTTTGAGAGAGGGACAGAGTACAAGTGGGGGAGGGGCAGAGAGAGAGCGAGACAGAGCATCTGAATAGGTTCCAGGCTCTGAGCTGCCAGCACAGAGCATGATGCAGGGCTTGAACTCACAAACCGAACTGTGAGATCATGACCTAAGCTGAAGTTGGGCACTTAACCTACTGAGCCACCCAGGTGCCTCATACATATATATCTTAAAAACTAGTTCCTGGGCATCTATATGCACAGCATCAGCACATAAAACACTCAGAATAAAAGATAAGTTCTACCTTCAAAGAGTTGAAAATTGGAAATGTAAGACAGACATACAGGAGACATTTAAATAACACAAAGCTGTGTGATGTATATATTCATACATATTCAAAAATGCCTAAATGATCTCATCAGTGAGTGATACACTATTTAGAGGAAGCCACATTAACCTCCTTGCTGTTTCTGAGGTATGCTAAGCATCTCAAGGCATTTGGCTCTTTCTCCAAAGTCCTCATTACTACCTGATTTATATTTACTTGTTTACTGTCTATTTGCGTCAATGAAAATGTAAACTCCTTGAGAACAGAAATGGTTTTATTCACTGCTGTATCCCCAACATTTGAAACAGCGCTTGGCATGTAAGGGCACTTAATAAATGATGTGTTATATGAATCAACCGACTGAGAAACTGAGCAGGCTAGAATGGTTGAGGGAGGTAAGCTAAGGTAAACTCATGCTTTTATTGGAAGAGAGCATTCCAGCAAATGAATGTATGTGATGTGTTTAGAGGGTAGAGCAAACTAGACCTGCTGGGACTGATGAGCAGCGGAAGGCAAGGCTAGGGCAAGAATATAAAGACCGTTGAATGCCAGGATGCCTAAAATCTCTTCTAGCTCAAAAATTCTATGATTCTGGGTTTCACTCTATAGCATAGGAACATTACTACCACTACAGAGCAGGAACAGCTTTTGAAAAAGGACTGACATGATGAAATATGTGTTTTAGGAGACAAATCTGGTAGCAGTATTTGGATATATTAAGAGCAGGGATATCTGAAGCCTAATGACACAATCCAGGATTTAAAAGATTAGAGTTCAGATTGTGTGGTGACAGATACAGAAGATATTTTGAAAGAAGTATAAGCAGAACTCAATGATAGGCTGACAAAGGAAAAAATGATTTCCAAATGTGAGCCCAAGTAACTGGAAGGGTAGCGGGAACAGTGGTAAGCGAGAGGAATTCATTTGGAAGAGAGGCTCATGAATACAGCCTCTAGACGTTTTAGACATCTTGGTTTTGAGATAAGAGTGGCAAAACTATGTGGAAATGTCTAGAATACTGTTGAGACATCCTGGAACTGGCACAGCTGGGAGCAGACAGAAGGATATCAGTCATGAAATCACCACTAAAATCCTTTATTTTTTAATTTTTAATCTATTATTCCATTTACTTCAGGCAAACTCCCTTAGCTTTTAGGGTAAACTGACCAACTTTAGATCAAGGGAATCAATTCTTGGTTAATTGTCAAAAGCAGGTGGTTGATCTGCCACTCCCGAGAATCTACTGCCACTCTTGGCAAAGGAGCTTGCTCTTCTAGGATCATTTGTTCTGAATATTCTACAAATGTAAAACTGCCAGGAGTCCTTTTGTTACTATACAGAGAAAGCCTGAGAATAAAATTAAATGGAGGCAAGGAAAGGAAGCACTAAGAGAGAGGTGGAATTCCAATGATACTGTTAAAACCCCAAGAACCAGCTGTGCCTGAGGTGAGCACCACACTGCAGACTTCCCAGTTCAGAGAGTCAAGGCAGCTTGAGTTTTGTTTTTATGTCCTGTCACCCCAAAGGGTCCCAATTAATGTAACAAATACAAATGCATACAGCTTTTAGAATCTAGAGTCCTTGAAGCTAACAAATGCAGAGTGAAAAGGAATCTGCCTTGTATTTTAACCCATTACGGAGCACAGAAGCCATCACGTAATTAGTCTAAAAGGTACTAAGGATAGGATCTTAGCCTTGAGATGCACAGAAGAATCCATAGCAAGATAGAACTAGGGAAATGCTCTTGAGACCAAAAATATTTCTAACTTTGCTATATATTGTCAGACAGACCTTATTTCTAATCCCTTAGAAAATGTGTCACTAGCATATAAATGTACTGTTTTCTAGCATCTCTACGAAATTCAACTCTATCATTCAAACCAAATGTCACATCATTCAAGAAATGCCTACTCCATGACATGAAGAACTCGGCTGATTAGCCAACTTTCACTTATATGTGTGAAAGACACATATAAGCAAATGTAGTTTCCATTTCCTCTTCCTGCTGGCCCAGGAGAGAAAGTTCATGCTCTAATTTGAGAGAAGACACTTAACTCAGGGAAAAACACTCTGATTACTTACCCTTGCTCTCAAAACACACTTCAAACATGTCATAATCTTCAGTGGTAAAGGCAAATTTCCCCTTGGTTGCATCTTCCTTGGAGTACAGAATATGACCAGCAGAATCTGTGATCTAAAAGAAAAAGTAAGTAAGAAGAGGAAGAAAATAACACTGGGGAAGAGAACTTACAGAAACCGGAGAAATGGAAAGAAACACTGTCTATAAAAGACAGTTGATGGGCGCCTGGGTGGCTCAGTCAGTTGAGCGTCCGACTTCAGCTCAGGTCATGATCTCACAGCTCGTGAGTTCGAGCCCCACGTCGGGCTCTGTGCTGACAGCTCAGAGCCTGGAGCCTGCTTCGGATTCTGTGCCTCCCTCTCCCTCTGCCCCAACCCACTCGCATTCTGTCTCTGCTCTCTCAAAAATAAATAAACATTAAAAAAAAAAAAAAAAAAAGACAGTTGCTATTTCCCATTATGATGACTATATTCACTCCATTCCTAAAGACAAGAACTGGATTAGAAGATGAAACCCAGGGGCGCCTAGGTAGCTCAGTGAGCTAAGTGTCCACCTCTTGCTTTTGGCTCAGGTCATGATCTCAACGGTTCATGATATTGAGCCCACATTGGGCTCCTCTCTGTCTACCCCCTACCCCCACTTGCACATTCTCTCTCAAAATAAATAAACTTAAAAAAAAAAAGTCTTACCAAACCTAAAAGCTGATACAGTTGATATAGATTGGGTTTATCAGCAAAAGTTCACCTTATAAAATGTATGCCAGTATCATTATCTAGAAAGAGATATGTCACAAAAACAAAGCAGACAATTACCAAAAGAATACACGACAAAAGACATATAAGAACACATCTCTTCTGTAAAACAAACTCTGATGGAGAGGCGGTAGGAGCAGAGAATGGAAATGGGACACTGATGCAAAAAGAGAAGGAAAAAGGCACACATAGAGAAGAAAACATTAAAAAAAAATTAAAATGAGGGCTGAATAAAAGGTTTTAGGGCACATCTTCTCAATTCCCTAAGAATTAACAGTAGTAATATTAATCAAGTATCTTCTGCCATGAATGATGTTGATCATTAATTTGTCAATGCTTAGATCTGCACTGGTCATTCGGGATACAGGGATGGGATGTGTAAGACAGTTCTTATCTTCAAAGGGCTTAAAAGTCTAAATGAGGAGACGAATAAGAAATGAGACTTCACTATAACGTGAAAACTGCACTACTAGAGGTAAGTACATGTGCCAAAGGATATGGAGGTTCAGGGAATATACTGTAGAGAAGGTGACATGTGAGCTAAGTCCCATAGGATAAGCTGCAATTAAGGGGAAAATGGGGAGGGGGGTGCCTGGGTGGTTCAGTCGGTTAAGCATCCGACTTGGGCTCAGGTCATGATCTCGCAGTTTGTGAGTTCGATCCCTGCGTTAGGCTCTGTGCTGACAGCTCAGAGCCTGGAGCCTGCTTCAGATTCTACATCTCCCTCTCTCTATGCCCCTCCTCTGCTCATGCTATCTTTCTCTCAAAAATAAACAAACATGAAAAAAATTTTCGTTAAAAAGGGAAAAATAGGGGTGTAAGAACATTCAGGGTAGAAGAAATAGCAAATATGAAGACTGAAAAAAATATATATATATAGTACCATCATAATACTAATAACTAGTATTTACTAAGCACTTATTAAATGTTGAGTACTATGCTAAGTGCTTTATATGCATTTTAAATTTAATCTTTATTATAACACTATAGATAAGAACTATTATTTCTCTCATGTTCAATAGCAGGAAACCAAGGCACAGAGAGGTTAAGTGGCTGGAGAGGTACTGGCCAGATCATGTAGAAATGCAACACCAGGGGCACCGGGGTGGCTCAGGCAGTTAAACGTCGGATTCTTGGTTTTGGCTCAGGTCATGATCTCATGGTTGGTAAGTTTGAGCCATGCAGAGCCCGCCTGGGATTCTCTCTCCCCCTCTCTCTGCCCCTCCCCAACTTGCCCAGATGCACTCTCTCTCTCAAAATAATTATAAACTTAAAAAAAAAAAAAAAAAAAAAAGAAATGCAACAGCATGCTAAGGAGTTTAAACTTCATTTGTACAAAGTGGAAAGGCAATGAAGAATTTGAAACAGGAGAGTGATGATTCAGTTTGCAATTTAGAAAGATGAACCTGGTAATACCATGAAGACAGACTCAAGAGGGACAGTGCTAGAGATAAGAAGATGGGTTAGGACACTATTCCAGCACTCCAGGCTAGGAATGATGGGGAGAAGGGGATGGATCTGAGGGATTTTAAGGAGGAAGAGGTCATAGGACAAGACCAAAAGTCAAAGCCTCCCAGGGTCAACTGAGCAACCTAAGTGAATCGCACGGGCCAGCGTCAGTCCACAAGGTGGTAGACAATTTGGCAAGATGAGAAGATACACCGGTCTCAAGGGAGAAACCAATGACTGCCATGTCATGCTGGGTTTTCAGATCATTCAATTTTTCAAAAGAAGCTAGACATTTTAACTTTTAGTTGAAATCTCCTAAGTTTTAGATCCTTACAGCCAATCCCAACATATGAAAAACTATGTCAAGGCCAAACAAAAGAGGTCTAGGGAACCAAGTTCTTCTGGGCCAACAATTTCTGACCTCTGCATTGGACAAGAAAAAAGGTGGCTAAAATCACATGAAAGCATTGCTGGGCAGCATGGAGGTCTCAGCTGAGATCATGGGCCATGGATTTCTAAGTGGCAACACTTAGCAACCAGGATGTAGGAACAAAGAAAAGTAGTAAGTGATCTAGGCTTGAGGTTCTGCAACTGTTTTTGGAAGGATACAGGGATTAAGGAATTATGCTATAAACTTCATACATAATATTTATTAAATCTTCACAACAATCCCAGAGAGGCCCGTCTTATTATCCCCATTTTAATGACAAGGAAACCTAGTAGCCTGTTTATCACAGAGTTAATAAATTCTGTATGTGCATTTGAAGTAGTGGAAAATCCATGTTCTTCCTCCATTCCATGTTGCTTCCCCAAAAAAGGAACATGTGAAAGAATGGAATGCACAGATGATAAGAAAGACTAAGAAACAGAATGTGATAGATTCTCTGGGTCCGTGCAAATCAGAATGCGTAAGAGTCCTCTCAAGTGAGCACTGCACTGTTCAGTCTGCATTCTTCATCTTGGAGGGACTAACAGGCAGCCACAAGGTAGAGGTCCTGAAGCAGCAATAACTATATAATCTGCAAGGAGAAGGGAATACTTAGCCCTGAAGATTCCTAAAGGCCTCCTGTTCACGTGATACTTTTTCTCAATCAGCTAAAAGAAAAGGCTTAAGAAAAGACTACTTTAGAACCTTGAATACACACGTATTATAGGGCAAAAATTGGTCTGGGAACAATTCAACTCCCAAAGTAATGTGTAGTCACCAATGTGACAGCAATGTGTTATTCTCCCTTTCTTCAGGATCTGTCACCCATTAGGCACTCGTATGTCCCTGCTCCCTAGCTCCCAAAGGCACAACGACAATACTTTTAAGAGCAAGGAGGAAGTTCAGAAAGAATGACTGCGGGAATAACAGATTTTCACATTCCAAGCTGATGAAAAAACTCTAACTTAGTTTGGCTCCTATGAATAAAGTTGCAGAAAATGTGGAACTTTTCTAAGGCTTACTTGGATAAAAACAAGCTTCCAGATTTGCTTACACTAGTTTAATTCCTTTTTCTCTTTAAAGATTTTATTTTACAGGGCACCGGAGTGGCTCAGTCGGTTGAGCATCTGACTTCAGCTCAGGTCATGATCTCATGGTTTGTGAGTTCGAGCCCCGCATCAGGCTCCGTGCTGACAGCTGGGAGCCTGGAGCCTGCTTTGGATTCCTGTGCCTCCTTCTCTCTCTGCTCCTCCCTGCTCGTGCTCTCTCTCTCAAAAACAAATAAACATTAAAAAAAAAATTTTTTTTAAGATTTTATTTTTATGTAATCTCCACACCCAACATGGGGCTCGAAATTACAACCCCGGGATCAAGAGTCGTACATTCTACCGACTGAGCCAGGCAAGCACCCCTAATTTAATTCTTAAGGCAGTAGGAAAGGATTACAGGCTACTAGAAATGTTTAATGTAAATGAAACCAGTAGAGGACAGCAAGGAATAAGCATCAAGAACGCAGCACTGGGGCGCCTGGGTGGCTCAGTCAGTTAAGAATCTGACTTTGGCTCAGGTCATGATCTCGTGGTTCGGGAGTTCAAGGCCATGTCAGGCTTGGTACTGACAGCCCAGAGCCTGGAACCTGCTTAAGATTCTGTGTCTC